AAGTCTTTATGTAAATTGATGTTTTAAAGCATGTAGGTGTCTTTGTTTACATTGTGGTTTATGCATAAATTTTAAGCACACCACAACATGTCATTAGGGACACAGAGATCCCATTTAAGAATATAACCATTGATGGTATGACATAAAAATCATGATTAAAGCTGAAAAGAGTCATTTTATGAAAATTTTCACCAGCTAGAAACAATATCTTACCAAAATGTGTCTGTAAATTGGCAAGAAAGACACCTTTTCTCTTTTTATTAAGGATGCATACTAGATTTCAAACCTGCAGAAGACATAAAAGGAAAATCTAAGCTAACAAACTGAAAAACAACACTCCAGAAACTCAAGGACAGTCCTCTAAAAGGACTGAGTTGCAGGTATAATCATGAGATGTAGCTGCATCCAGAAGCTGGAAGGTGACTCACAGAAATAGTAATCAGCATTCAAGGGTGCTAGACCAAGCAACAACGGTGTTCATATGAGCACTGGATCAAACAGAAAAGCAATACCCAAGAATTATTAGTGTCTGAGTTAGTACTCTTATCACTGGAACACAATACTCAATACCCATAAATTGAAGGCAGGAAGACCTTTTGGCTCATAGTCCAATACTCAGCAGAATCCAAACAGGGCAGCATGGCAGCAGCACACAGCTGAGGATGGTCGCTGACAGGATGACACACAGGGAGCAGAGAAAGAGAGACTTAGGGAGGAGGAGGAAGGAGATAGATCCTTCCAGGCCACACCCACAGTGACCTAACCTCCAGGGGCTAGAAACAAATTGTCATGGTTTACATCAGTGGTCCCCAAGCCTCATGCAATTATGGACTCCTCCAAATCTAGTGTTTATGATTGGTTCATTGTCAGCTATTGGATTGGTGGTGTGAGCTACACCCACCTGGGGGTGGAGCCAGGATATGATGTAACAGTCAGAAGGCCGGCTGGACTTGCTGTTTGCAGTTGCCATGAACTGCGGTCCCACCATGCCATCCTGCCTTAGAGCCAACTGAGTATAGACTGAAACCTTCAAGAACTGTAATAAATAAACCTTTCCTTCCTTAACTTTGGGCATCAGGTATTTTGTCTCAGCGATGAGTAAAAAGTAACTAAGATACCAATCATAACAATCAGGTGTGTGAAAAGCTTTTCATCTTCTTTCAGGAGATGTTCCTTGAAACCCACTGAGATGTCACTGGGACACATCAAGAGAATAACTTAAATAAACTTGTAATACCAAGGCTGAGACAGGATATAGAGGACTACAGTGAACTAACACAGTACTACGGGAGGTATAAGTTGAAAAGCTATTTGATAAGGCCTATATATTCCAGATATACTCTTTTGACTTCATCATTGATTCCTTTGGTATATGCCACAAAGTAATCCATAAATATGTTTCCAAAGGCATGTATGTAACTTTTCCTATCAGTGTTAACTGTTCCATTTACATGCAAAATCAAAAATTCCACAAAAGTAGAATAAATAGTAACATGTTCATATAAGGAATGTATGCAAGAATAAAAAGAAAGAAACTGAGTTAGCCACATGGATGAACATCATACAGCAAAGATTATTGAAAATAAGAAAAGAGAAAGAGTACATATCCACTGTTTACATAATATTTTTCATAAAACTTCTATTCATTATAAAGTTTGAAAAGCATGTGAATCTATTTACATAGGTTTGAATTAAGAAAAAGTCATACATTTGGATAGGGGTAAATAATGACTAGATACAATATGAAGGAAAATTTATTATCTGATCTATGTCATGTTCCCTTATGAGAATAGTATTCAACTGATATGTTCATTTTGTATATATTTAGATGTACATTTGTGATGTGTACATTTTTCTATATATTTTTCTATATATAAACTGTATTTAAAATTACTTAGACCTGTTAACCATAGAAGGCCTTACTTACTAGGAAACAAAGGACAGTATGCTAAGACAATCTCCTAATTGATTCATGAAAACCTTTGATAAGTTATTAAGAAGTTCTTAATTTAAAAATAGCAGAACAGGGAAAAATTTTGGATAAAAATATGAAGCAAAAGAGTCATGAGTCACAAGACAGAAATAAGAATATGATAATAATTCTCTTTCTGAACAATATTCACAAAACCTATCAATTAATCAGAAAAGATGAGAGCATTATTTCTGTGCTGAGCTTAGCATTTGCATTAACATACTGGGCTACTCCAGAGTTTCATGACCAAGACCCATTAACATCTCTCAAACACTTTTTACATTACTAATACAGTATTAGACAAAGAATTTGAAAATAATTTCATTAAAATGGTCTTGAACTTAGTAATTATCAATATTCAGAGACCAATATTTCTTGAATATCATCATATCATTGAGATACTATCAAAAATCCTAAAAAATACAGATAAATGTAAGTTATGACTTTTCTCTTATTGGAGTGTTTAACTGAGATAATGTAAATAAGTTGAAAAATAGAAGTAGATACTATATCCACTAGTAGTTATCAAAATACACAAGGAATAGTTAAATTTTAAAAATACTAACATTATGACAGTAAAACACACAGTGCTATTGATCCTCTTCAAAATATTCCCCCTGGCTTTATTATATTTATCCCATTATTTTTTTGTCACTTTCAAAAGCAATTCTGGAAGTCCTCTTTCATTAGTGTTTTTATGAGGTGTGATAAAAATTAGGATGACCACTGCTGCTGAGTATCACCCAACAAGAAAGTAGGCTTGTAAAAACATTATAATGTGTCTTCATCCATCTTATTCACTGGATAGGGCACCATGTAACTTCTGGCTTTTCCCCAAATTCTATATAATGATAAAAGATAAACATTGTGAATTGATTGATGAAATGGAGGTAGTCACATCATGCAACTAACAGCACTCATGACAGATTTCCAGAACTATTTTAAAAATGACAAAACAATGATATGAATGCGTTTGCAGTGACTGTATTTTGAGGGAGATTAATGGCAATGTGTTTTTTATTGTAATTTTTAAATTTACATATTCAGGGTACATTTTAATCACATCCCTTGGGTCATATAAATGTTACATAACAAGCAACCACTAAGTTTCTGCTGCACACAGAGTGAATACTTTTTATCTTGCAAGCCTGCATACTGAATAGGAGATAGATCTCTGAGACAGAGTTGCCAGGGATGTTAGTTAGTTAGTCTTCAAAGATGGCCTGCCCTCATGAGTTCTAACACCTGATATTCTCTCCTTTATAAGTCCCCTCTTTTTCAGTCTCCATGGTCTCTAATTTGTTTTTCTTAATTAAAAATAATTATGGATTTCGGGCTGGGGATTTAGCTCAGCGGCATAAGCACCTGCCTTGCAAGCAGGTGGTCGTGAGTTCGATCCTTGGTACCGATAAAAATGAAAAAGACAAAAAAAAATTATGGATTTCTGACAGACCACTAATGTACAGGCAAATTTCATGCTGCTTTTCTTAACCAATAATGGTTCAATATCAAAACAAATAAATTGATATTGGTACAATCAATAGAGCTTATTCATTTGCTTAAGCTTTGTATACATGTGAGAGTATGTTTGTTTTGCGTATGTCTATGGCTTTATACAACTCCATCATCTCTGAAAGCCTATATAATCATTATCCCAATAAGACATTCAACCATAATATCATAAGACTCCCGTATATTATCTCTTCATCCACCTGTCTTTCCACTTCCCCCCAAACCCTAAACCCAGGAAGACAAAGTATATATTCCTCCTGATAAACATGACATAAGTGAAACATGAAAAGTTTACCCTATTGAAATTGGCTTTCTGCTTTCAACATACTTTCTGTAGGTTCTAGCCAAGTAAGTGTGTATAGGAAGGTTTTGTCCTTGTTATTGCTGATATGGATATTGCACAGTTCGTTTAAACACTGGCCCACTAAGGGGAATCAGAGTATTTTTTACTTGGGGTTATCATGAAAAAAAATGGTTAGGAAGATTAGTCTACAATTCCTATGTGAAAATAAGTCATATAAGTCTTTTTTTTTTTTTAATTGGTACTGGGGATCGAACTCACGACCGCCCGCTTGCAAGACAGGTGCTTATGCCACTGAGCTAAATCCCCAGCCGTGTTATATAAATCTCCATTTCTCTTGGACAAACATGAGTACAATTGTCAGGATTAAGGATAAGTCCATTTTAATTTTGGAATTAAACTTTCAAATTATTCTCTAAAAGGCTCTACCATCTTCATTCCCACTGAAAAAAATATCTGATGGAATTTCTATCCACTCTTGTCAGCATTTTGAATTATTACTTTTCATTTTAATCATTCCAATAAGTGCATAGCAATACATTGCTTTGATTTTTAGTTTGCATTTCTCCAATGACAAATGAGTGAAAATTTTTTGATGTGGCTTATTTGCCTTTTATATGTCTTGGTGAAATGTCTATTCATCTTCTGTATTTTTAAACTGATGCTTTTTCTGCCTTCAGCCCCTCTGAAAACACACTTCTTATGAGATAAACTTTATCATAAACTTCTTTAATGATACCTCTGGCCACCTTGATTTATACTGACATTTAAAACTAAGAGAGCCAACCAAGGCCAGGAAGAAGCAAAGGAGAGCCTGAGTGAAACACGAAATGACTTACTCCAACTATCGAGAGACCAACATCTCTCATGGATAGGGAAGGAAAGGACAGAAGTGGGATGAGAGGGTCTCGATGGGAGTCTCAGGAGGGAAGTAGAATACTCGCAGAGATGAATGTGACTTTCTTGCATCATACGCAGTTACCTGTGGCAGTATTGAAAATCATTCTGAGAGACAGCTGCTCCTCAGAGGTGTGATCTTGCTGGACTCAGCCGTAGTAGGCTGCCACCTTCCTGGAGGCACATACCCAGCGCAAGTGAGCTTTCAGGGATTTTACACTTCTGAGGTACTAAAGACTGTCGGAGAGTAGGCTGGAGAGTGCTGCTAAACCAGAGCTGTTAGCAACAACTGGCTGCTGACCAAATTGGCACACTAACCTTAAAGTCACCTTTAAGTCACCGCATTTTAAATCACCTCACATCTTGTTGAATTATGATTTTCCTCCTACAAAAAAAAAAAAAAAAAAAGACATATATCTTTAGTGGAAAACTCTCACGTGCCCAAATGAGAAAGAACCAAAAAGAAAGGAAGAGGAAAGACTCACAGTGACATTCAACAGTGACATGAAACAAAAGTGGAACTGGACTGCAGCAAGCTGAGCAAGCAAACTGGCCCTCTGGTCTTGAAGGATTACTCACTAAGAAAGTTCACTGCATATGTGACCTTGATGGTCAACTTCATTTTTCAGAAGTGGTAATGAAGTGGACATGTTCCTGCATCATTCTGTGAAAGGTTACAGAAGCCACCTGGAGCGTCTCCCCGTGGTACTTTAAGTAGCTGGTGTGGACCTCCTTGCTCACTTTGGAATTTAGATTCTCCTCTCCTCTCCTCTCCTCTCCTCTCCTCTCCTCTCCTCTCCTCTCTTCTCCACTCCCTTCACCCCCCTTTCCCCTCCCTTCCTCTCCTGTTTCTTTGACTCTCTCTGTCTCTGTGTATTTTTACTGGAGTATCCTAAGGTTTTACGCCCCTCAAAAGCTAGTAGTCACCTGGCTGGGCTTAAGAGGGCCTCAGCCATGTAAAATCAGTCCAAGGATTTGTTTAACTTTGTTATCACACATTTTATTCAGGAAATAAAAAGTAAAGCTTTGGAAAACCAACTCTCCAAAAAAGATGGGATAGCCCAATGGCCCTTCATACAGCAAGCCTCAGTTGTGTCAAGCACGCTTCAGTAACTGTTTTAGCATAGATTTAGAACAGAGCAAACCCTCAAGCCTGAGGGAATAGCACATCACAGTTTAATGAGAAGTTAAGGCATCATTTTTATTAAATTTCTGGTTGAAAATGTTTTAATGAATCAAGTTTTTGTTGCTTTAAAAAAAATAGCCTCCTGGCTTGAACCAGAAACCACATTAACCAAGTTCAGCATAACTGCCATGAAAGGAGCAATGCCTCTAGCCATCAGCAGCATTAATTAGCTCTGACTATAAATTTTCAAGTGAAAGTTGTCATCATCTTGTAGAGCAACAAGTTCCATAGTTTCTCTGTAGGGACATAATTGAGCTGCAATTGACACACAAAAGATGAATATTATTTTAAGGCTTTTCATCAAGAGCACACATCTAGTCTATGTGTATGAACATTGCTTAGTATTAGCAAGTAGCAAAAGGAGAAAAAAACAGAGACCAGAAAAGAGATCACTTGAAATGGAGAATGTTCATTCTACATAGATTGTTAGTTTCCAGGGACCTTGCAGATTTCCATGTTTATTAGATCAATATTACCTAACCATAAACAAGGCAGGATCATAGAATGATAATTATATCCTGCACTATTATACAGAGAATGGGACAACTTACTATCAAGTTCTGTACGTTAAATTCATGGATAGAATCAGAGACAGAAGAGGCAGACAAGTTGCTGCTACATGACTGAGTGGACTTAACAGCCAGTAAGCAGAATAGGAAAAGCAACTATCCCTGCAAATCAAAACAGGGAGTAAGAAGGATGAGAAGCAGGAAAAATAAGAAAGAATAATCTGTCCACCCCCATGACACAGTATTTCTGACATAGGGTCCCTGGTTCCATAGGAACAGCTACTCACCATTGTGCCTTATAAGACAAAAGATCAAGAGACCTGGCTCAAAAAGGTTGGATCTAAAAAGATGCAAGAATGGAAGGAACAGTGACAAATAGAATTTAGTACTGAATCTTGGCACAGGACACAAGGTCGGCATGCCATAAACACTTGTAAAAAAGTGAGGCTAATTTCACCCCAGCAGAGCTGAGAAAGAATTCTTCTTACTTATAATCCATACTCTTTAGTTATGGATAATTAAAAAGGAATGGAAAATATAAGGCAAAGAAATATTTTCCTCAGAAAAAGAAATAGATTTACTGATTTTAAAATATTGATTTGAATACATTTTATAGACTGAGGATTCATAAGTATTATTAATGGGTATTTGTACTTTGCATATTTCAAATCCAAAGTTTTGGGAAAGTTAATTTTGTGCTGTAAAAATACTTTATGTTATAAATTGTATTGGGGAATTGATATGAAATCATACAGATTTTAATGCTAAAAAGTTTTTAAAATTCAGAGAAAGGAGTTTAGATGAAAGTTTAAAAATTTTTAGTAAGTGGGGTAAATAAGCAGATTACCTAGACTGTGACCAGCAAATACACTGTTGACTGCACTGTCCGACCACCTCCCCATTCCTACTGGGACACAGTAAGTAATCCCTTGTGTTGCTTTCACTTTCAAGTGTAGATGAGGATATCTGATTCTCTCCCCCATGCTCTAGACCATAAAGAAATGAATAGGATTTCTATGCAGGCTGAAACTTCTCATAATACCAAGCTTTGGTCATAAAAATCTAAGTAGTTGCTAAAATAAAGCAACCCATATATGGACTTATACTTCCTAGTAGCCTAGGCAGAAATGGAGTCAATCGTGTACTTCTTATAGACAAAATAAATAAATAAATAAAATTAAGGCAGTTCCCAGAAAAATAAATGTATTTCTTAAATTTTTTTTTCTATAAAATAAATTTCCCTTTAATGTCCCTATGTCCCTTTTTAGAGGAACATAGCATTCTTAAAGATATGTACTTGGAAATTCAATGGTTTCATGTAATCTTAGGATAATACAGTAAAACCCAGCTAAAAATATTGTTTCATGTCAGAAAGACCAGTCAAGATGCTGCAGCCCAAATATCTAATCCTGTAGATTAGAAAAGCAGAGCATTTTGACTGTATCTAAAGGTGAGAGCAGAAAAAACATTAGAGAAAAGATTATCACAAGTGTTTTAAAACATTTTTTCTCTCCATAATTTTGATAACAGTTTGAAGTTATAATATGTGAACAGTGCTCAGTCTTGTGTTTTTATTTTCAATAGAGATCATGCTGCTGTTCTCCAGAAAATGTAAAGCATAATCTAGACAATGCTTTTCTTTGGAGGATGGTGAGCAAAGGGATCCTCACTGACCTTAAAAGGGCTGTTAAATAACTGCAGTGTAGAAACTTCTTTCCAGGCAAAGACAAGAAAAACAAAAGCTCACAGGTTTGATGAAGTAAAGTTAAGGGAAGCAAGGAAGCAAAGACACAGTGAAACTACTTTTCCAACACACGTGATTGCAAAGAAAGGGATCAGCACTTACATAAAATCATTGCAAGCCAGGCTCACTTACGTCATGTTATAGAAAGGCCAATGATGTAAAACTACCCAGCCTCCAAATCATATTGCCCATATCTGTTGGGTCCAGTACCACAGTAATTTAGTATCAAGTCATAGATCTCAAAAATTATTTTTAAAAAGCATAAAAGACTTATTTTTAAAATAATATAGCAATTGACTAGGAACTAGATATATAATTATTAATATCCTAATACTCTTAAAAGAATAGCTTGATAGATTAGAATGAGGGGAAACAGTGTTCCCCAACTGTGTAATATTCAAAGAAAAGACTATAGCCACCTCCTCTATTTAAAAATACACATTCAAAAGCCATCAGAGTTAAAGTGGTCCAGTAGCCCATTTCAAATATAATTATTAGCCGATTATGTTTTTTACTCTATTGCCTTCTTATGCAGTCTTACATTTACTGAATAATGAAATGAATTCGAAAGACCATAAGAGTTACAATGGTCTTCCTTAAAGAAAAGAAATGTGAGGAGCCCAGTTATTGAAGATTCGCATTTTATTTATTTATTTATTTATTTATTTACTTATTTATTTATTTATTTATTTGCTATGAGGAATCAAACAGGGCCTGCCTTGTGCTTGCCATGCAGGTGCTGTGCCTCTGAACTAGCCCAGCTCCAAGACCTGAAATATTAGGATAAAAGAATAACATGAAAAGATTAGCACAAAGAGTTCCAAGGGCTCCATGGGAGAGCTGGATGAGTCAAATATATGAAAATCTGATAGTGCTGGCTTCCTGTTGTGGCTATAAATCACCACAAATTGAGTGGTTTAAGCAAACAACTATTTATTCTCTACTAGCCCCAGAGACTACCAGTGTAAAACCAGTCCCATTTGGCTAAAATCAAGATGTCAGCAGGACTGTGATCTCTCTGAAGGTTCAAGGTTGATATCCCGTCTGTGCCATTTTGAGCTTCTTACAGCTGCCTCCTTAGGCTCAGGGATCCACCATTAAAGCCACCAGAATGCCATCCGCAGATCTCTCTATCTGCTTCCATTGTATCTCCATCTGCTTCACTGTAGTGAAATTTCCCAAACAGTTCTCTCTTATAATGACACATGTGATTAGACTGAAGACCCACCTAGAAGATCCTTTAACAATATATGCAAAGTTCTTTTCAACTGTATAAAACAAAATTCACAAGTTCTGGACCATGCATGTTCTTGGGAGCCACTAACCACACTAATCCAAGGAAGTAGCACTTTCAGAAGGATGTTAAAATTCGAAGGCCCCTTACACAGACATACACTCCTGCAGTGTTTATGATGGAGATAACACAGTCCTAATAGTTAATTTGAGGAACGATCTGAATATCTCCTCACTGCCTGTTTGGCCCCTCATTCCATTGTTTCAGAAAGATTTAAATGGATATGCTCATTTCTTTTATGTATGCTACTAGCTTCTCTTAGTTTATTGAAATGAAAGTTTTGTACCAATATTTGTTTATTTTTTCTGTGTAAGAGAACATTTTTGTCTGTCTTGTGCTCTGAGTAAAGGCTTTAAAGGTAATGATTCATAGTGCATCAACAATTGTTATTCTATTACTATTTTATTATGAAATTTGTTTCATTTTTAAGAAAATAAAAAATAGAACAAAACCACAATCCCATTATTAATAGATAGGATTATTTGATTTGATATATTGGATAGACCATGAATTCTTCTTTACCATTTAAGTAGGTTACCTGGTATTTGAGCACAAGTAGATTGTAAGAAGGAAATAATGAATCTATGAATATTTGTTTAAAAAAGTACACAGTTGATTGATGATGAAATATAAGCACATTAAATTAATAAAT